AACAGCCTTTTCCAGATTCAGCTGCACTGAAGAAGTCACTGATCTCACTTCCAGTCACCATTTCCTCCATCTGCCAGTTAAACTGCTCCTCCAAGTCTCCCAATAGATGCTTCAATTTGATAGAATAAGAGACCTTCATCTTACACAGATAAAAGTTCAGGAAATACTCCTGGTAACAGCTCATTCAACAGTGCAGAGGAGGTGGCAGAGGGCAGGAACAAAAAGCCAAGGATATGGCACCACGATGGCCTCTTTCACAGCAGCAGGTATTGCAAGGACTGCATCTATTTATGTCTTGCTTCACTTAACATAAATTAAAATGCTTTACCTACAGCGAAGTATCACACCTCACTTGTCTGGGAACAATTCTTTCAACGACTGTGGTAGGTTATGTCTTTTAGAGGTTATTTTTTGACTCAGAGATGCAAGCTACCCAAAACTATACTTTCAAAAAGAAGGAGCAACTCTGCTGTGCTATGTAGTCACAGCTTTAAATATATTTATGGCACTTGTTCTGACAAGCTTCAGCCTTCAGACCATTCTATACAGAACTGGACAAAGATCTTTCATACACGGCAGGGCACACTTGCTAAAAAACCTGAAGAGGGGGCAGAAAATTTAAGAGTGCTAAATAAGGGACAGAATTCCATTTTACACACAAATTCAAGTTACAAATTAAAGAATAATAAGAACTGACGTTGGGAAGGAAAGTAAAGAACAAAAATTCAGCAGCAGAGAAAAACCACAAGTGAACAATGCAGAAACCAATGGCTGCTCAGAGGTAATGTCCCATTTCCTTACAGAGATCCAAGATAAGGAGTTGAAAAGAAACCCTGGAATAAGCATCCCACAGCCATCCCAAATCTACATTTTGCTTCAGCAGACTGGATCTGAACAAGCAATAATCTAATATTTTTGGAAGCATAATTCTATAGATTGGAGAAAAGTGCATATCAAAAAATGACACGTTGACAGGATTTTCATAATACATACATTAAACTGCAGGAGACGAACTTATGCACAGGAGTAGCAGTGCAGACTGTTCTGTATTTAAGGCTGCTGCCCTTCATAAATCTGCTTCTAGACATTATTTCTTCTAAAACACTCCTTCAACAGGTTATGAAATCAAAATAAGATTACAGGCAGGCCCAAAGTGCTATTTTCCCAACAATATTTAATCATAATCTGTTGCTGACTTACCATCTCCCAGAAAGAGCTTTCCAACACTGCTTTCCAAAATCTTCTGCCATTATTATACAGCACATTCGTCCACCACCTCAAAGAAAAGTGAAGGAGGATACACCAAGAACAACATAACCACCCCAACTTTAATGGCACATGTACTACCTATCAGCCAGAGTAAGCACCACAGCGAGGCACTCACATTGATTCTTCTCCCCTAAAGAATACGGTGTGAACGACCTCATTATTCAGGTCTTGCACTGCCAAACGACTCCTCTTTCCATCACTAAAAGGTTCCATGTGGAATGCAGCTTAACAAACCCCCCTGAATCACTCTTTAGGTGGGATGGACAGGGGAAAACTGCCACCAAAATCCTGACTGGGCTCAACACCTCTGCAGCCCTTGAGCCCAGTGATGCCAGGATTACAGATACTCCCCCACTCCTATCGAAATCTCCTTAGATGTCACACCCATGAATTACAGCACTTCGTATTTACAGGCTGCTGCTTAACTCTCTTTGTATCTTTGAAATGAGAAGTTGAGCACGCTGAAAAATTTCAGATGCAAATCATTTCAGCTAATCCAAGGTGGTTCGTATTTTCATCCAGGTAGTAAAAGTTAGAGCATAGTCATCTAGCTCACCGAATCTGAATCATGCTGTCAATATATTGAAAAGATTTTTATAAAATGGACTGTATGCCACGTGTTAGCCAATACAAAGTTTACGTTGCTCCATTACCTAACGACTCGGTCACAGAGAACAATGTGTCAAAAAGCCGATTTTCCCCAAAGTGTCAAAGAAAAAAAAAAAAAAAGCAACTGTATCAGTTACTTTTAAAAGCCTGGAATACAGTACCTTGAAACTTTAAACACATAAAGGTATTTAAAAAGATGCGGTTGCTACATCTCTTAGTCAAATTAACTCTGGGAAGAAGTAGATTTGTGAAAATGGCAATACAAAGACCTGAAGTTGAATTACTAGAGGCCACTGCAGCAAACTGACTTTTAAGTAAACCCCAAACCCATGGCATTTGCGTTGTACCCAGAGCTGAGCCCAGAGCATTTGTCCTAAACCATTCAGCTGGTTTGAAGCAGCTTCACGGACAGACTTTAACCAAGCAATACAAAATACAGCCTATGGTGTAAGGTAAATATACTGAAATAGGAGAAGAAACTAAAGCAAAAAGCTAAACCTAAGTTAAAAGAAGAAAAAAGGCAGAGGCAGAATTGTGTTTAAGAGGAGACAGAGCAAAGCAGTAGTACCAGTCTCCTCAACTTTTCCTTTATTCCTCTTAACAGACACAAAAAATTAAAATACAGACAACTACTGCAGCAAATTTAGTGACTGACCATTCCCAAATCTTTAAGAAATAGTTTCTGGAGCACTACTGACAACCTTAATCCGGTACACTGCACACTCCTCAAAATTACTGATATTCACAAGAAAAGTACTAGTTGATCTCGATAGCAAGTTACAGTTTTCCAAAATAAAGAGTGGCCAAGAAGTGCAGTTACAAGTACTACATTTTTGATCTTCCAAGATTTAAATGGTCATGAGCCTTAACATTATTTTTGCCATTGGGATTTCAGTAAATTGAGGAGTACAAGCAATAAATGACTTAATTTCTACAAAATACTCAAACCCTTCACATCACAGTACTTACTGCAAAACAAAGGCTTAATATCAGCTGCATGCCAAGCCAATGGAAGACCGTCAAAGAAAATGTGTTTCCATTGCCATTTCTTTCTCCTGAATAGCAAATTATTTTAAAAAAACATTTTGAAAAATAATCAGAACATCAATTTACCTTTCACTTCAACAGTAAACATATATTCTTAATCTAACATTCACAAGTCATACTGCCCTGTAAAACTGCTGCTTAATATTCAGCCAAAGAGCATGTCTCAAATACATTACTCCTTGTGGAAGACAAGACATGAGAAAGCAACCCCATTAAAAATTGCAGGTTAATAACTCAGTAGAAAAAGGCCAGTGGCATACACTGCAAGAGAAAAAACCCAACACATTCCCTATTCTGCTTTGGGCACACAAGATCTCTTCAGTTTCAGGTAAATGAGAAGGGAGCATCAAAATTTAAAATTAAAGACTATTAGCAAAACCACTGCAAGATAACAAACATTAAATGTTTGTTATTAAGGCAGACTGTACTATGTGGCAATGCACCCTAAGCAAAGCGTGCACCACTCTTTTTGTTTTTTTTTCCATCACCTTCTAATCCAGCTTTCTATGGACATCACACAAATCCATCAACATGTAGGTTGTCTACAAATCTCTTCACGTGAATAATTTGAATAATTAGACCCCAGGTAAAAAACAAGTATTCCTCACTTCTTTTTCTATCTCGTTCCATCTTCCTCATAAAGTGAACCCTTCTTCGGTGCTGAAAACTCATTTCAAAACGTATTATAAAGAGATGGTAAAAAAACAGGCCGTGACGTAGCTTGCTCTCAAGTCCACTTACACTTTACACTACAATATGGTAGATATACCCACATGCAAAATTATCCAACGTGCGGCAGAAATTTTAAGAAAATGAAAACATAATAGACGAAGAGCCCTGTGTCCCACTCCAGCCAGCCCTGGCTATATTAGGGAAGGGGAAGGGCCGGGCTGGCCCCGCCGGACCGTGACCCCCGGCCGGGCTGCACCCACGGCCCCGCGGCCGCACCCCCCTCCCTCAGCGCTGCCCCCGCGCTGCGCACTGCGGGCGCGGCCCCCCTCCTCCCTCAGCGCACTGCGACCCCCGCCCGCCGGAGCGCCTTCCCCGGCGGCACCCCGGGCTCCTCACCGGGGCGGAGCGCTCCTTCCCGGGCTCGTAGCCGGGCTCCTTCCCGGGACACCGCGCCCGGCGGGTGGCGGCTCCTCACACACGAGGGGCGCCGAGCCCAGCGCCGAGCGCCGCTCGGGTTCCTCCTGCTGCTGCTGCCGCGGCGGGGAGAGAGGCCCCGCCCCCGGGCTGTCTCCACCAATGGCTGCGCGGGACGCTACTGATTGACAGCCCCTCCGACAAATAAACGTCGCGGCGCCCTCCCCCCGGCGCTGCCGCGGAGTGGTGCCGCTCGGCGCTTACGCGAAGCCGAGCCCGCCCGGAAGGCGGCGGCCAATCGGAGGGCACGGCCGCCTTGACAGACAAACGCGAGCACCAATAGGAGCGGCGCACCGGCACCGCAGGGCCCGCCCCCTGCTTGCAGCCCATGGCCGCGGGCGCACGGAGCGATCCCGCGGCTGTGGCAGTGCGGGGTGTGAGGGGCCTTCGCTCCGTGCTCTGGCTGATTTCACTTCACCCGCGCTGTTCCCCTGGTCTCGGGCCTGAGGTGTATCCCGAGCAGCACCTCCCCGGTTCCGCTGGGTCCCCGCGCCAGCGCTCCCGCAGCCGCACGGCGCCCGTACGCTGGCGGGGCAGGCTGGGATCTGTAGTCGGGGGCGCAACGTCTCGCTCCCCCGGCTCCTCGCCCCGTTCTGGCCTTCATCGTTCTTCCCAACCCCGAGAGCCGGCGGCACTGCCCCGTCCAGCCCGGCCCTTAGAGCGCCATCCTCGCCTTCCCTCCGTTCCCAGCCCCGCTTCCTCCTTCCCGCCCCTCCGGCTCCCTCAGCCCGCCCGCCCCAGCGGACCAGCGTCCAGCGCAAGGCACGGCCCGGCAGGAAGATGATTTTTAACTCGCTCCTGCGGAAGCGAGGCCCAGGGGCAAGAAGAGTGGAAAAAGCAGAAAAAAAAAATAAAGAAAAAGCGGTCCCCGGGCCCAAAAGCGCTTCCCGTCCGTGACCTCTGGCCATGCGTCACTTCCCGGCGGCCGTTCGAGCGCGGAGCCCGCGGCCGTGAGGGCTGCCCGGGGAGGGGCGCGCTCGGCGTCGGGGCCCGGCGGGGACCAGCTGCCGGGTGCCTGCTGCTTGTCCCCAGCCCGTGTTTGTCGCAGGTTTCACTTCTTGCGGTTGCTCCCGCTGCCTCGTCGCATTGTGCGCTCAGGTGTTTCTGCGATTGCAGCTGTAGGGACTTGCGTAAGTAAAATAAAAAACGTGCCCCCAGGCAGGTGTTGAGGTGTGCGCTTCCCTCCAGCACGGTACAGCGGCCTGTGGAAAAACTGTTCTCTGCTCAAGAACTGTGTGGTGTCTTTTGCTCCGTTTGATTGCTTTCTCGTGTAGTGTTCTTTAAGATGCTGTGTTCTGATGAATAGACTTTCAATTCTATGTTATCCCACTGGAGGCTTCTCAGAGCAAGAAAGACAAGAGCTGCTAGAGAGAGTCCAGCGGGGGCCACAAGGTGATGAGGGGTCTGGAGCATCTTGCGGGGAGATGTTTAGTCTGGGAGATGTTTAGTCTTCTCCTGCTTAGTCTGGAGAAGATAAGACTGAGAGGGGATCTCATTAATGCACATTAATATCTCAAAGACAGATGCCAATAGGATGGTGACAGACTGTAGTGGTGCCCATCAGCAGATTGAGGAGCAGCAGCCATAAAATGAGACAGAAGTTCCACCTCAGCATGAGGGAAGACTTCTTTAGTGAGATGGCAGAGCACTGGAGCAGCTGCCCAGGGAGCTCGTGGATTTTCCCTCTCTGGAGACATTCCAAAGCCACCTAGATGCATTCCTGTGTCGCCTGCTCCAGGTGACCCTGCCTTGGCAGGGGGTCTGGATGATCTCCAGAGGTCCATTCTAACCCAAACAATTCTCTGATTCTGTGAAACAGTTGATTAATCAATCAGCCAAGATGTTCTTAGAGCCTTGAATTCCCTATTAAGTTTTATTGAACATGCAGTCATGGAGCAGTTAAGTCCATCAAGAGGAAATTTATGAAGCAAAATCCTTAGTGAAAAGACTGATTTGTCTTAGACATGTGCTGCTGAGCTGCATTAAAGGGCTATACTTAGTGGCCTGTAAAAATAAGCAGTGGGTTTAAATTATGTAATCAGCTTGTGTTGACAAACAGCTATTGAAAAACTTAAAAGTTGTCCTTGAACTTGTCATCAGTTTTGCATCAATCTTTCCAATAAACAGCCCCAGGGGTAATATCCTCAAAAAGCTGGGTCTCAGTTGCTGCCTCTGGAAGGATAAGGGCCTATAGTGAAATGCAGTATAGCAGTAGCACTGATTAGAAAGAAATTCAACATTGGTTTTTTTCAAATTTTATTTTATTGTTTGCATTGTGCTTATCCCTCAGTAGCTACTTACTTTTCCAGATGATTTATGATTGATTGAACATGATAGAAGTTGGAGCAGATTACCTGGAAATACTGCTGATGTTGTTTCTCTCATGTATGAGCTGTTTACTTGCTTGAATTTAAAAAAAGTTTCAGTGCAATATTTTTTATATGGCAGCTTGGCTTTCTTGGAAGTTTGAGAGACTTCTTCAAAAGTTTTCATGGAAATTATAGTTACTGTACAAATATGTTTATAAAATTTACTGTTTTAATTCAGTTTTGAAAAGCAGTGGGAATTGGACTGCATCGAATAGTTTATAAGTACATTGTTGTAGAGCCCTTTTAGAAAAACTTCATCAGAGTGGAAAAATGGGAATCACTTTTACGAAACACATGGTGACTCCCATCAAATAAAATCATTTATCCTGGGGTTTATGGGTTCTGCATTTCATAATTTTTTACTGTTTTTTTTATGTCCAATGAAAGAATTGTGTTGTAGATCCATGAATCTTCCTCATCCCTTTTAAAAGCTGGGGTCATTTACCACTATCTAGTCCTGAGATACTTAAGCAATAAATTAATAGTTACTCAGTTTAGTAATTTAACTATTTCATCCCTGATTTCCATTAAATCACTTTATTAAATACTCTAGAGTTTGATTTTTTTTAACTAGTGAAGTTTGTGCAGCTGTATGAAGTCTCTGAATGAAAAGATAGGTCCCCACACAAAACCTTTTAGGTCTATTTTGTCTGAAAAAATATGAAGCTCCAGAACTGGTGATCTGGGGATGTGGGAAGGTTGATGTGATCTGAATTACAGCACATTAAGGACACAGAAAAGATTGTGAAAAGTTGTAGTTAGAGAATATATGCACTGGTTTTCCCTCTCCCCTTATATCTTCTAAATCTGCAGTGACTAGAACAACAGATACAAATTGCTCTTCTGCTATACCGACTAAATTATTTCTTAAATAGACTATTTTTATTTCTTGACATTATTACAGTGTGTACATAAGTACTCTGTTTCAGAACATACATGATCACCATTGCCACGATCATTGTATATGTTTTAATAGCCATTGTTCACCACATGTGGAGTTCTTTAATTATTCACCTAGTCTGTAAGTATTCACCATTCATTTATCCAATCACTCACCTGGAGAAAAAAAAAAAACTAAACAAAAACTGGTACATATCTGGAAGTTAGTGCTTTCTGTTTTGCTGCTTTCTAAGATCTGCAAAGTCAGTTTTAACCTTGTTAATGACTGATGCAGAAACATTTTGCAGGGTAGTATTGCTATATACTGACTCATGTGCCTCCTGTAATTCAGATCTATGCTTCTGAAACTGTATGGTTCCTATTCAGTGTTTCAGTGAAAGGATCTTGTCATGATCTTGTTCAACAGAAAGTTAATTATGTTAACATTTAATTCTCATATTGTCACTCACAATAAGCTATATAGGGGGCTGATCACAAGTACATTATTATCTCTGCATTTATAGAATGGAAAATTATCAGAGAAAATGAGTCACAAATTTCTTCAGAGGCGAATCTCAGAACTGAGTGTTGAACAGCTTTGTTGGGCCCACAAATCCTGCAGCATTGTTGACGTGTGGCTCTACAAAAAGAATTAATTTTTGTTTGTTTGCCAGCAGTCTTAAGTATCATACCTTAATTAACTTTTAAAGGAAAAAAATATGCAGTGGAAAATGTTGTGATAATACTGAAGTGATTATTGTTATTTTCCCAACATTTAGAATGGAAACATTCCTGTTTGCTCAAGTGAGAGTGGAAGCAGGTATTTATTTATTGAAGCTTTATGAATTTTTTTCTGGGAAATGCTTGTCTTGGGCACAGAGGGGCTTTCCATCTTCTGTTAAGTTAAGCTCTGTGGTGGACATGCATGAAAGAGCCTGGTACTCATCACAGTACTTGTATCTGCTGCTGAGTGTTCCAGAGGCGCAAGGAATAGGAATATTTTTTCTGTAAAGCTGTACCAAAGATTCCACTTAGAAAAACAGGGGAAAAAATTGCCACGGTCAATGCAATGCTCATGTCCCAACATTTGTGTGTTGATCAGTTTTATACATTTAAATTCACTATTCTTTCCTCATTGCCCAGCAGAATGCTATGTCAGCATGGTTGTGGTTGAACATCCCTTCCTTGTAGAAGTGGTAGTGGAGGCCCAAGAAGGAATGCCTGGAAGTTCCAGTGTTTCCCTGTTCAGTTCTTCCACAATGAGAATGTCATGGAACTGGCCTGGAGGCTCATCCACGGCATTTTCTTTTCGTTTCCCTGAGTGCCTGATGTGTATCCTGGTAGATGTGCCTGTAATTCAACCTGTAACCGAAAAAGCACTTAGTCATTTTCTCTCTGCCTAAATGTCATTAGCCTGACTAGCAATGGCACTGACAGATCCCCCAAAATCCTAATTTTTCTGGAATTGCACAAGAGTTTTGTGGATTTTCAGAACATTTGGTTCCTGTTCTCTGTCCTTTCCCTGACAGCGGTACTGACAGCTACTTTTTGCAGCATACATTTTGTCACATTCCTCCAGATGTGACAAGTTCCTGATAATTTATATTTGCTGTGCTTTCTAGTCCTCTGTTCTTTTCCTTTATATATCCCTGATTTTAAGACAGTATTGCCTGTGAGGCATTCAGAGCAGGGGGCTCAGTGATCCCACAGCATGTCAGAATAGTGTGCACCAGGTTTTGTAGCCAAAGCTTCATAAGCAGAATTCCTTAGGAACAGAGGTGCAGTTCTTTCACTGTGACTGTGGTTTCACCTGAATCCATCTGCCTGTTCTGCCTCCTCACTTGGACTCCATGGAAGGAGTGTGTTGCAAACTGCTGATCCTATTTTCTAATACTTCTTACTTCAACCATTTACACTGTTTCCAGGTCTATCTCACCTTGTAAGCAGGGATTGTCAAAAAGCAGGTTACTGTGGGTCCTTGGTGTGAGTGACCACAGAGCTCAGCACATCCCTCTTGTCAATATGATAGCTCATGCCTTGCATCACATCTGACTTCCTCCAGATTGCTTCAGAAATAGGTCACTATCAAAAAACCTGAGTGCTCCAAGTTCAGAATTTTGCTGTCAAACCTGGTGGTGCTGCTAAGAGTCCAGGCAGCCTATTTTGGGTGACATTCTTTGTTCCTGTGGTAATCCTGCTCCTGACACAGGCCATGAATCCAAAATAATTAGGTACTATTTTGTTGCAAAGGTTTGTTTCTTTCTTTGTGTTCAGTTAGTGCACTGCTACTGAGCTATATAAGCTTTTGTTTGCTTTAAGTCTGTTGAAGCTAAAAGAGAGCAAAAGTGAATATTTCTGCTCTGACACTGTCCCTTGAACAAAAATGAATGAAGAATCAAAATTTTTCATCTTTAAGCACACTATGAGAATTTTTATTGATTAGTTTTGTGGTTTAAGATTGTTTCTTTCTTAGGGAAATAAAGTTCTTAACTATTTTTTCTTTTATTTTTCTTCTTTTTTTCCACTTCTCCCTAAGTGGGCATATTTTCTCATTTTTTTCTGATTTAACTTTTTAGGGTTAAAAATTTAAAGGACTGTTAGTTCCATCATCAGAAGTTAAGTAGTACTTTTTTTTCCTGGAACTCCTCTGCAAAATGTTACTAGAAGAGTTATATTTCAGTGTCCATGAGTAAGCTCGATTTGAATGGCAAATAACTTCCTTTCATGAATAAGGTGTTTACTACAATAATTATTTCATAGTGTAAAGGAAGAGGCACATGCTATCCTCTTCCTCCTGGAATAGTTAGAATATTTTATGGATACTGAGGTGAGGGAATCTTCTTCCAACATCTGCACAACTTTATGCTTTCCAGAGACAAGTCTCAAAACTCAAGGAATGTTGTGTAGATATTGATTATTCCATCAAGCTTTATCCTCTCTTCTGCCATGTAGGTAAGATATCTTCTTTCTCTTTTGTTTCCCTCTGGTTCAGCATGGCCAGTGCTCTCCAGGAAACACCTTCACTCGAAGCCTCTCAGTTAGAGGATGTTGATGCTAAGCTGTCCTTCCTACCTGAAAGACTGAGAAGGAAGCTGCTTCCTTTTCAGGAAAAGGGCATCGTATTTGCACTTCAGAGAAGTGGCAGGTAAGATTATTGTATTCAACTTAGTGTATCACATGCTAAAAATTTATGTGAAAATAAAGTATGCAGACATTAAGTAGAAAAATAATAAATTTATGTTTCTATAGTTGTAAGTAAGAATATTATGCTAAAAATAATTACTTTAGGTAAACATTTTTTACAAAGGTTATTCAATACCAGCAGTCCTAGGTGAGTTACATTGCAGAAATCTTTCATAAACTGTAAGGTAACATGGTTTAAAATGAGTTGTGGGGTTTTTTTCCACAGAGAATTAAGAGGTTTAATAATGCATTATGCAAAAGAATTGTAGTATCAAAGTTCTCATGTGGAAGGAGGTTGGTATCAGTAGGACCATCATTTTTGTTATGTTAATAGAGAATTCCTAAAATAAGTTAATTCACATTTGATTCTTTAGTTTTTAATGGCATTGTAGAGCTGTAAAGGGAATGACTAACAGATCCTGATGCATCTGTGTGGTTTTCTATTTTAAATTTGGTACAATTTTGGAGTGTAATCAGGGTGTTCTGGAGCTCACTGAGCTGCAGCAGCAGAGCAGGAGAAGCCTTGCAGAATGCTGGGTTAGCCAGTGCAGCAGCTGATGGAGTAGGCATTCAACAATTAAGTACCTGGCAAATAAAAAAACACAGTTTATGCTGCAGAGGCTTGAAATATTTTGCTGAGTAAGAGCCTGTTAGTGAGTTACAGGTTCAAAAAGGAAAGGGGGAAATGCTATTTCCACATTAATAAATTTTAGGAAATGTGAGCAATTGCAGCCTCAAGCTGTGAAACCACTGTATGCTGTTGTTTTGGAAAGGAATGGTGTTGGGCAGGTCTGGCACAAATAGAATTACTGTAGCCTGTGTGGGAAAGATGGATGAAATTAGTTCCTGATTATTTCAGCATCTTGCTGAGAAGGAGAGACTTAAGGCCTAAAGGGGTTGTTTGCTAATGTTTGTGACTGTTCTCAGGGGAAAAGAAATGTGCATCTTTCCCTCTAAAAGTGAAAAATTAGAAAGGAAAATTTTATCAGCAGTTCTTAGAATTACATGGAACTTTTAATCAATTAAAATCTCTTCATTTTTTTCTCTTTGATTATTTTCCTTTGGCCAAAACCCTTTAGCAGTGCTGTCTCAGGGAATGACCAAACCATCTGTTTTATGCTGCTGGTTTCAGGGACAGAACAGAAGGATGAGTCCAGCCCTTCACAAGAGAGCCTGAGATTTGATATGCTTTGTGCTGAATTGGCATGAACTGCTTGTGATCACCAGCCATATCAGGCACTTGCTTGCTGCACAGCCTGAGAATGGGTGGATATAATTTTAATAGATAGCTAAGACTTTGGTAGAATAGCAAAGCCTGTGTTAGAGTTTTTAATAAATGTGTTAGAGAATTTAATAAATGCAAAGCCCTTGGCTGCCATAGAATGCAATTGAGGTATATATTTGTGTATACAAATAGTGAAATAACAGCAGCTATTAAAATTTTAAAAACGACACATTTAATTAGTGTAGGCTAATGGATGTATTTGAAAGTGGCATAATCTTCTGCAAGCTATTCTGTAATATAGAGGTTCCTTGGGAAGCAGCTTAACTGTAGGACTGGATAAATTTTTATCAGATGCTTCTTCTTTTTGTTGAAGTAGTAACAATTGCCTGCAGTAAGTATTCAGAAAGGTTTGAAATACCTAGTCTAATGACTCTCTGTCATGGAAGGAATTCTATTTTTTTCATTAGGGTTATGGGTTTGTGTTGGGTTTTTTCCTTTAAGGATTTCACTAACAAGAGTTTTGCATAACCCAGCAGTGGTGGTTTTCATGTGACATGCATATGAAAAAATGTTCATCATGACTGCAAGAAATCTTGCTGCTTGGCACAGTAAATTCTATATGTAAGCTGGGTCACATTGAGGAATTGTATGCACACTCTCAGCCAGCTTCTATATAAAGTGTTTTAAGTCAAACTTTCCCAAGGAGTATTTTGTAAATGTGTCCCTTGCTTATGCAAGAGATCTATATCTCTTCCTGTCCCAAAACAGAGAACAAGAGCCTCTGGTGGTTGTAGCTGAATTTTCTTATTAGTTTGTCAGCCCTTGCTTCACAGAAGTCTTTCCCTTTTGTGTACTTCATAATGATTTAAACCTTCTTTCAGTATTCCCAGTGGTATATTTTCTGTAGAAGTGTCTTTTCTAATTTTAAAAAATATGTAAGCATAGGGCTTGAAGTGAGCAATATGTGCATCTCTGCCCATCATTCTTCTTCCCCCAGGCTATGCATTCCCTTCACAGGCATCACTTAATCCATGCTTTCCTGGAGTGGTAGGAAACTAGTGTAGAGCAAGTGTTGGCTGAAGAGATTCAATTAATATCATCTTAGATTAGACAAGAACCCAGCATGAAAAGGGACTTATTATTAGAACAAACTCTTATTTTTTGCATGGAAGGGGCTGGGAGCAAGCTATTAATTCCCAAAGCATAAAATAAATATGCTGTTGTGATTTGTATTTTTGATTCATTGGTAAATGAATCAAGGGCTTTTCCAGTAGATGCTCCAAAGGCATTATCTCATCTAACAGAGACTGCCTAGCACTTTCCTAGGAAATTACAATTCTAGACCCAAAAAGACAGTGTGTGCTTCAGTGTAAGTTAACACACCTTTTATCTCAAAAACATGCCTTAAAGGTGAATAACTGACTGGCTGCTTATTCCTTAGTAGAGATTATTCTTCAGACATGCACTTTGGAATGGCTGCCTAGGGATGGATACAATTTATAGTCATTGTCTGTAGCCCCAAACATTAATGTGCAGAAAACCTGGGTGCACACAACTTACATCCATGAAAAGTGTTTCATTTTTGTGATTTTCTTTCAGTGAAGGTGTAAGTTACTTTTAAAAACAGCAATGATATGTATTTATTTATTTGTGTGTGCTTTGAACTGTCTCTTTTACATAAAAACCAACCAACTTGTCCCTTCCAGGAATGTGACCCGTTAGCAATAGGCTTAGGAAAAACTGAGGGTTGTTTGGGTCAGATGTGTGTGTGCTGTTGGGAGGTGGAAGTGAGCAATTCTCTGCTCTCTGCTGCTTCTTAGTCATGTTTGGGCAGATGTGGACAAATCCCCACTTCCTAAGAAGTCAGGGTAGCACTGTGGGGTCACCAGGTGTTAGTGTAGAGGTGGCAGTGTTGAAGCACAATGTTCTGGAAAATGTGGTGGAAGTTTGGGTAAAATATGCAGGATACAGAGATACTTGGGCAATTGACTTGATGGTGTTGATAAGAATGGTATTCAGTCTCATTTGATCTCTCATCTCTCTTTGAATATTACTGATTTTTGCAGCTGCTGTTTGTCCATACTTGGAAAGTCACAATTATTTTTACAATCTATTCTTGTTTTACATCCTCTCTTTACAGAAGTGTGTGATGTCTGTCTAGTAAAACAAACAGTTTGTTCACCTGAATACGCTGTAAAAGAGGCATACTGTTATTTGAAATTTAGGTCTCATGCTACTGAATATCACTAAATGCTTTATCAAGTTTTGTAATAAAAACTGTCAGCATGTGATTTGCAAGCATCATTATTTAGCATTGCTTGTCTTGTAGATGGTATCTGTAAAAGATGCCTTCAGACACACAGATATATTTCTTTCTAGGCATGTTGGCAGAACAATTTGTTTAAACTGGATGCAAAAGAGGACTTGGAGATATTTACCACCCATGTAACAAGCAGTTCCATTATAATTGTATGCTCAAACTATTTTACCAGAATGGTCTTGTTTCCTCTGTAAGTTTGAGAGGTAATACATTCACTTATATATATTCAGGAGCATATGATTTTTAATCTCCCATACATGCTGGTCTAATGCTGTTAGACACAGTAAAAAAAGAAAATTACCATGGATGGCAATATCAGGTTGTGCAGAGTTCACATCTGCCATTAAGAACAGATGTTTTCATGCATCAGTTTTAATGCAAGGGAAATTGTTTTATTAGGTAGTCCCTATCTAGAGCAAGAAAACGTTTTATAGTGTTTAACTTTTTTGGATAATGGGCTACAGAGAACCATTATGGCAGTGAAAACATTAGAGAAAATGGGAATGTCCTCTGTTATAATATTGAGTCAGTTGCCTACACTTCAAAATAGTTTTTTTTCCCATTCACAGTGTCTCTGATCTCTATCAAGTTACACAGGGAGAATACATAATTATCTCTTTATTAATTAAAACAGACTTTTACTTCAAAAATTACAAGTCTTTGTAGAAATTAGTTCCCTCTCTCCCATCTTCAAAGTTGACCAAAACACCAAAGGTTCAAATCATAATTTCCTGAAAGATGCTTCACTAGAAAGGCACAGCATACACAATCTGCTGAGGGTTTAGCAGCTGGGCCATAGAAATGGCAGCTCTTGGGCAGGAAGCAAATAGAAATGCTTGGAATTCCCAGGCCCAGCCCTTTGTAGGGTGAGGAATTTCTGATAAAAGTCCCATTTAAATTCTTATGCAAATTTCTACACATATTTCTTTAACTTTCTAGGATGTATTATCCATTGAGTAGTATGAAAGGTATAATTTTATTTGAGTTGGGTGTCTAAGGAAGCTATAGTTTTGGATTTTGGAAGCTAATGATTCCATCAGAATCATCCACCAGAAAGAGAAAATATGTTCAGTCCATGCACTCCAATGCAGTTTGTGCTAGAGCAGTAGACCCTTTTGTTTTACAGTTTCCTATAGCTATTTTTCACTTTCACTGTTATTTTTGTCATCATTACTGAGTTTGCTTTTGGGTTTTATGTTGTCTATTAATCTTCCTTTCACCTTCTGTCCAATGCAATTGTTGCTTTCTGTCTTGTATTGCCTTTTTAAGTTAGCAGAGCTTTTGTTTTACTTTGCTTTTATCTTTGCTATTTTTGATCCAGGATTGCTGATTGATTTGCTCTTTCAGTGTATTTCTGTTCTTCAGTTTCTTGTCTTTGACAGTAGCTATGAATTAAAGAATAGATTTGCCTTTCAAT